GAAATTGGGCTAGACTCGACTGACTACATCTGACTGGATTTGATTTAAACTTATTGTAAATAGATACTAATGGTATAGACTGGACTATCCAATACGAACAGAATTAATCAAATAGTCAATAATTAAATATCATTGACAGCTGGTATTTTTGTGATAATTTGTGTTTAATCAAATATGTTAATTGAGTCTAATAGCTTGACAACAAATGTGTATGGTTTGCTTACAATACTCACAATATCCTTCCCTGATTACCTGTGCCTTATTTATATTTTAATGTAATAAACATTTGCATCTGACACATATTATATTAAAATGCACTTTATTTTGATTTCTTGTGCTTTAATTATTTTTTTCTTTCTTCTTTGCTCGTTGCTGCCTTATCTGTGCATCTGTGTGTGTGTTTGTCTCTTCATGTATGTATGTTTGTTTTCCTGCTAGACTTCTCTGAAGACATTATGTATCATGGTAAGAACAGTGGACGGCATATTGACTTGTCTTAGCATGTACACTTGTAGCTGGGTGGTAATATTAATGGACTGGTGCATGGTCGTATTGCTTTCTAATAACTATAACGCTCTATATAACTACTTTGTCTATTCTTTATTTTAATTCATATACATATTATATTACCGGTATCATTTATTTTATAAAATTCTATCTGTGTTCAGGCGCTGTTTGGGTAGTTCTTGGATATTTTGTTTGTTATTTTCGTTAATAATCACTACTTGGTAGGATCCACAGACTATGTTACGTTGCTTATCATGCGTATATACGTAATGTTCGATATTTTGACATTACTTCAGCCATTGATGTCGGTGTTATGGTGGTCATCAAAAATAAAATTAGCATAATTCAATTTTAACTGCCTGGTTGATCTGTTATTGGGGGGATAAGTTCATCACTTAGCATGGCAAATCTATCCTCGTTTCAGCTGACATGTGCTGTGTGTTTTACTGTCCACCCTCCCCAATTATATTCAGTCAAAAATAAGCCGAACAATATTTGTTTATAGTGCATCATTTATATTTCTTCAATTTGAAAATCTGATTTTGAAAATTATATTAATTTTTGTTTTTAAGCTGATAATTTCAAGCTGATATTGCTGTCTGATTTTTGTGTGTAAAGCATGGTTTTACATTTTTTAATCACAATTTTACTTGCAGTTCAAATCAGTTTGACCAATGAGAGTGCTGTTTAACAGTTGCCCTGTACAGTTAATTTCTAACAACTAAATTCCCCCACAACAAAAATGGCAATCTGTTTTTTTTTTTATATAAATATTAATTTATAAACAGATCAAGAAAAAAGCTAATGGCACTTTTTATAAGTATAAATCAAATTTAGGTGAAATTTATTAATAAACTAGCATTTTTCTCTTTCTCCCAATAACACTCGATACATGGAAAGAGGTCAACACTTTAATGTGTGAGTGGTTTTACTGAGATTAGCATTAATGGTGTGATACTACTATATTTGGTATTTACTAGTGTCACACTAAATTGTTGACTTTCGTTTCTCATTACTTCATCCATTACACATGTGCGCACATTGTTTTAAATAATTCAGAATATCAGTATTGGCCTGATAACAATAAATGATTAATCGAATACCATTCATTTATCCAATACATTTGACCTTCCATTCATTATAGTTCACCTTTGACCCAGTTGCCACCCATTATAGGTACATTGACCTTTGCCATCCTTTTAGGTGAATTTGGCCTTAGTTATTCTGTATAACAGGTAACCTTGTTCTTGACCTTTGTCGAAGTTATAAGTAACCTTTGACCTTTGTGTGGCAATATAGGTAACTTTGACCTTTGTTCGGCATTATAAGTAACCCTTTACCTTTGTGCATCATTATGGGTAACGCAAGACCATTGTCACTCGTTATAGGAAACCCTTGACACACACACACACTCTCCCCCTTTAAAGGTTCACAAACCCCACCCACCCCAACCCCCGAAAATGATATGTAACATGACCTTAGCCATCAGTTGTACATCAAACATTTGAACTTTGTCACCATTAAGTGATTTTACAAATACTTTCATAGAAGCTTTTGTGTTTTTCTTAGATTTGTTTTTAGAGGGGAAATCATGCCCGTTTCATCTAAATTATTTTAACTCTGCTGATTTTTTAAGACTCTTAAATAAATCTTGGATTGAATCCTCACTAACATATATATTAAATAATTTAAATAACATGATTTTTATATAATCATAATGGTGTGCTTGAGAAACACCACAGTGAAAATCTATCAAACACCATTGCTTCTGACAAGGTATCATAACAATTGTACTACCACCCACACTCACCCATGTCTATCCTTACCTGTATCATTCATATGAATGTCAACACACATAAACATGATTCAAATGACAAGAATGTTGCCTCCTGTTTATCAAAAAAAAAAAAACATATCTTACTAGATATCCTCTCATTGTTTCATTACCTTTGTCTCCCATGAATCCAACATCTCCATAATCATCATAACAATCTAGCATTATCCTTATTGCCTAGATGTGAATATATCTGTTTTCTCATTTCTCAGCTACGCCTGTTGTGATTGGTGATCCTGACAACCAATCAGAATCACTGAGTCAGAACAGTGATGATGAGTCCTCAACCGGGGAAGGGTCATATGACGTTGCCTCCCATCAGGAAGATCTCCATGAGCAGACACTGGATGATAAACTTGAACAAATCAGTACTGTAAGTCATGCTTTATTATAATTGGGGGAGGGGTGTGTTCATGGTAATACTTTAGCCTGATATAGTCAATGTTAGATACTGTGCCCTCACTGTTGTCAACAAAAGCACAATATCTATCACTTCTATATCAGGCTATGCAGTAATCTGGGATTGGGTTAACCCCATATTCCACTTAAGTATAAAAAGGGATCATTGAAGTTCATTTTCTCATCAGGACTCGCTCTACCAAAATGCTAATGCAATACCTGGCAGTACTTGTGACAATACATTGCCATTGTGGTCAGAATAATTTTCTAACTTACATACCCAAATATCTTTTTTAAATTAATCATTGTCTTTAAAACTGACAATTAATGGAATCTCACAGTCAAATTACGATGGAAAACAAAAAAGTAACGGAAACAACATGAATAATAGTGTCCTAATTGCAGGAATTGATGAGCGTACTGGTTTTGGAAGAAAATAATGTGTCAATTTGAAGACGCAAATTTAAACAAATATAGTGTAGCTTTGACATTGAAAATAAGAATATTGGACCTTGATTTTATACTAAGTTTGCATCAATAAGTAATTAATTAGTGTACGTATAAATTAAAAAACTTCTAATTACAACATAACGTTACATTAAATCTTCTTCCACATCAAGCATGCCTGTCATTGTCTTGTTATGGTATTGGAAATAGAGGGCGCTGTCTCTATGGTTTGAGTTGTACAATTCACACACCATAAAACTATTATAGCTACTAATTTGCATCATTGTAGAGAAGATTTGGTTTTGTAGGAACTGTAGGAAATATTAAAGTAGAGTAAATGAATCTTAAAGTTCTAATTGCAGCGCCCTCTATTGACAAATGAATATTTTCTTTCCTCTCACTTTAAAGTTGTACTGTAAAGGGGTTAATTATTCACTGGGTTTTAATTTAGCTTATTTCGCTGACTGGAAAATGCGCTAAATTAAAACCCAGTGAATATGTAAAATTTAGCATAGAACACATTATCTAAATGACAAAACCGTGAATTTAAAACCCACTGAATATGCCTGAAATGATAAATCAGTGAAATTAAAACCCAGTGAAAATTAGTCATTTTACAGTATTTGGTTAAAACATATGAAGAAATGGTTCTTATTACTAAAAATGTTGTCAAAAGTTGTTGGACTATTTTAATATGTGTTCTTCAATCCAACTTATAAAATATGATTTCTGTTCTTATCTTTTGTGTCCTAAACAAAATTGTGAAAAACTAAATTTTCAGAATTTATAGAATTGGCTTGCCATATATTATGGTGTATTCTGGGTAATCATAATGCATTGTGGGTAATCGCATTGCACTATGGGTAACCACAGAACTGCACCACTCAATATCTTCTTTCGTACTGAATAAAGATTAGTTTTTATCAGGAGATCTAAACCTTATTATTCAGCTTTCATTTGGAAAATGAATACAGGCATAAAACAAAAAACGCTAATTTCTGGTTCTTTTTGTTTTGAGAATGATTGACTTGAGATTCATCAATTTCCATGTTGTAATAATACGTACTTCAGATGTTACAGTGAGTACATCTTTAAAACTTTTAACCACCTCAGTCAATTGATGTCACTTTTCACATTTTTTTTATTTTTTCAAGCATATTGCTCATGACCTGCATGTGTAAACAGTGGGGAATCCTGTCCATATATTAACAATGAAATAATAGAAAACATACATAAAAGTTTGGCTGTAAAAAAATTCTGATGTTCAGTGGGGTTCATAATATCATCATCATCATCATCACCTACATCATGTCTTTATCGTTACTAGGATACTGATTTCAGTATAATTCCGGAAACTGAACGTCTGGATGTCAGTTTAGAGAAATCCAAAGCCCAGCTTATCAGCGTTAGTGCCTTGTCTGACAGGCGTAAACCGACACGTCGGAAATCAGAAGATTCAGTTAGCGGTGATGTGTGGGCGGAAAGTCTGCCCTTGCAGGTAGTTTGTTAATGATCATAAAAAGTAGTGTTTGTAGTTGCTAGCTGATATCAGTTAACTGTAGTTATGCTAGTTGCATTTCGGTTTTGCTTGTGTTGTAGACTAATTATTAATAATATATAGAAGCTATAAAATAATGCTATTTATGGCAACTTGTAATCAGCATTAATATCAACCAAAGCTAACAACTTACTTAATATAACTGTCATTAATCCTGCTAATTACATGTTAGCTTAAGCTAGTTTGTGCTGGGTTTGGTTGGTGTGCATTTCTAGTTGCTAGTAAACATGGTAATGTTTATTTACATCATTGTGACTGCCTTTGCTTCACATGAATATTCAACATTCTGTGCGAGTCTCCATCACAGTCTGGTACACCTAACAAAATACATTTGATAGTGTATCAGAAACAGGGTACTGCAGATGTTGTAGGATTTAGTTTTATTTTAAAATGGCACATAATAGACTCCAAAACCAGTCTGATAAAACAAGACAAGAAACATTGTTTTCAGTGAGTATCTGATTCGAACCATACCACACTGTGAATATTCTAACCATATGTGTTGTAGGAAGGGAACTAAGTACTTAATACACATTATAAAATAGTATGTTATGCTGTCTTGACTTGCTGCATGGGGCTGTGGTTGGAAAGCAGTACTGCTTGTATCGCATGGCTACCATTACAAAGCTATAATAGCCAAACTGGTAATGATAAATCGCAATTATTGATATCCCATTATGTTATTGTATCCACAAATACAACATGTAATTCATTGATCAGATGCACGGTTTTGCAAACTCAATGTAAACAGACTTCCCCACAAATCCGTGCATGTTTGTAAAGAGAGACCATCTTGACCTCAATAAAATGCAAAGATCTGATCTGATCTAAAACCTGCAATAAATCAAAGTTGTCTTAGCATATGACAATGGAAATAAATTAAAATTGCAGTGTAATATTTCAACTTTGGATTCTCTTGGATTTTTGGCTTCAACAGATTTGTGTCAAATTCACAGAACAACAAATATTAAGTCATTGTTTTGTAACCGAGGAGAAGAATATTGACTTTCTATTTTATCAGGACCAGTACCATTAAGTCTTCTTTTCTATGAGCTGTCCTTTCTAGCAAAGAAATGTACAAATGATTCTGTGATGTAAATAGATAAAAGGAATACCTTTCACATTATCCACAGTATTTTGATTTGTAGTTGGCCATGGTAACAAAAAATACATGTCTAAGTTTTTCTTTCTTTACAATAATGAATGACTTCACACACAAAAAATGGCACTGAACAACATTGCTGTTACCCATCTTTACATCATTTTTAGAATGCTTCCTGTATTGGCACTTTGAAAACAATATAGATAAACACTATTATAATAATGATCATACATATTCATAATCATCAAATTGGATATTAGTCACTTGCACTATAATAGCAAAAATAAAATCAAGCTATTTGGCTGTTCTCATTGTTTGCTTTTCTCATCTTTTTCACCAGCAACCATCTAATTACATCACTAATGAAAGAGGAATGAGAATAACTGTGTTTCATGTAGGTAACCTTACATAACATGGCAAAAGTTTTTGATCATAGTGTCTCCTGCTGTTCAGCAATCAAAGCTTGCTTCTTTCGAGATTCCCATCTGAATCAAAACTAAACCACATTTTTCATGTGAAGGATGTAAAACCATCCACGCAGCTCAATAATACACTGGTAAATGCAATCAAATTGGATGGCATGCGGTCACTTTGATCAGTTACTCTAGTCTTGCATAGCTTCTTTCATGCCAGGCTTTCAAAACTGAACATAATAGCATCTTCTAAGCCAATTATTTCTGCACATGCATGTAACTTCAATAAATCTGAACATGGTGGCTTAAATTGTTAAGGTTCTACAGAAGGAAAATATTGAGACATTGATATTGTAGGATAAAATTAGCTATACTTTAATTGTACTTTTGTTGATTAGTTAATGTTGGGAAATGAAAGGGCATCACTCGCTTGGCAAATAGATTGTGTGATTGATGAATTCAGGATTAAACTAGTAATAGATACTGTTGAGTGATGATTAACACATCTGTTATTACGTACATCTGTAATATTCCAAGGTAAATGGGTAGATTCTAAATCCTTGTAGTGTCCAATGGGCATGTTGTTAAGCAAAATGTAAAATTAACCAGTTTGTAACTCTATATCTAATCTAGACGACAAGCAATCATGTTAGCCAATCAAGTGAGAATGAGATGGCTCCGGTCATAGAAGAAACACAGGCTCCAGTCAGAAGGTCATCTAGCAAAAAAACACGGGCACCTAAGCCACCAGGTAACCATTCACAAAGAGTGCAGGAATCACCGAAAGCAGTCCACATGGCACCCAGTGCATCACCCGGTATGTCTAATAAGCACAACAGGATGTCTAAAGGAGAACGAAATAACGATGAGCCGTGAGTAGTACTTAATAATGTTTTTAATGCTTCACACCCCTTTCACCAACATCTTTTTATGAAACTATTTGAGACTGGTTCTTCTTGTGTAAACTAAGTGATGTATTGACTTTATCAGCAGCCTCGGCAGTATGTAGCCCAGTGCCATAAAAAAAAACACTTCTTGGTAAAAAGTCATGTCATCAATCTCCCATCAAATGTAAATATACCAATAAAGATGTGTTATGAAGTTGGTTTGATTTTCAATTCCCCTATGTTCATCTAGTCCACTGGTTCTACTGTGTAAAGGAAGCTAGAAAAAAGTACACAATGCCAAAAGTTTTTAGTCGGTTGCAAGCAATATCATGCACTCCCAATATGCTACAACATGTAAATAAAGAGAAGATGTGTTTTGTTCCTTGATTTGTAATTTGCTTCTGTGTGAGATTTAGCTGGAAAAATAGTTATGGTTAGGCTTTCTGTTCACTGAATATTTCTGTGTCTATAGTTCAAATATTTGTATTTGCTTTGTGTGAACAGCATGGCTGTAAAGTGGGGTTCTACTACCTTATGTGGACAGCATGGCTGTTAAGTGATGTTCCATTGCCTTGGGTGGACAGCATGGCTGTAAAGTAGGGTTCTACTACCTTATGTGGACAGCATGGCTGTTAAGTGATGTTCCATTGCCTTTGGTGGACATCATGGTTGTTAAGTGGTGTTCCATTGTCTCATGTTGACAGCATGGCTGTTAAGTGATGTTCCATTGCCTTGGGTGGACAGCATGGTTGTTAGGTGGTGTTCCACTGCCTTGGGTGGACAGCATGGTTGTTAGGTGGTGTTCCACTGCCTTGGGTGGACAGCATGGTTGTTAAGTGGTGTTCCATTGCCTTGTGTGGACAGCATGGCTGGTAAGTGGTGTTCCACTGTCTCGTCTGGACAGGATGGCTGGTAAGTGGTGTTCCGTTGCCTCATGTGGACAGTATGGTTGTTAAGTGATGTTCCACTGTCTTGTGTGAACAGCATGGTTGTTAGGTGATGTTCCACTGCCTTGTGTGGACAGCATAGCTGGCGAATGGTGTTCCACTGTCTTGTGTGGACAGCATGGTTGTTAAGTGATGTTCCACTGTCTTGTGTGGACAGCATGGTTGTTAGGTGATGTTCCACTGTCTTGTCTGGACAGCATAGCTGGTGAGTGGTGTTCCACTGTCTTGTGTGGACAGCATGGTTGTTAAGTAATATTCCACTGCTTCTGGTGGACAGCATGGTTATTAAGGTGTGCTCCGCTCTCTCCGGTGGACAGCATGGTTGTTAAATGGTGTTCCACTGCTTCATATGAACAGCATGGCTGTTAAATGCAGTTCTACTGCCTTGTGTGGACAGCATGGCTTACAAAACAAGACAGCATTTAACTTTGGTTTTCACTCTTAATTCCTGAATAATGTAATAAGGAGGCTTATTGCTCTGAAATTTATCAAGCCCATCGGCTATTACAAGTGTAAAAAAACACACACATACTACCAGGGAGCTGATTGCTGGGATTAAAATCACTAAATGTCCTTACAGATTTGTAGCCCATCCAGTTTGAATTAGTTTACTTCAAGATTTACCTCAGTACTCAATGTATTTTACTAAGAATCATGATTCCATCAAGCAGTTAGGTATAATTTCAAATCTAAAAAAACTATAATGTTGGTGTCACAATTATAATAGAAAGGGGTGTGCAGCATTAACTCTGGAGGGACCATTGCCATTACATGATATGTGTGTGTATACGTGTTGAAAGTGGTGCAGTGGTTGATATGAAGTATCAATTTTGTGAATTTTGTTAGTATACAAAATTATGTTTGTTTGCTTTTGCAGTGGTGACCTTTGACCAATGCACATTTGCATAGCGTCAGTATTTGTTGATTGTTAAAAAGCAAAAAATATTGCTAAATGAGCATTGCAATTTTTACTCAAACCAAACTATTATAGGCGTGATATTTAGGTGGTATGTCAAATTTGAACATAAATGATAATAAACAGGAAACAAAATATACAGATATTAATAATTTGTGTACAGTAAAATATGAAATAATGCAAAATGACGATATGAAACAAATGATTACTGTGAAAATGAGTTGACAGTTTTCAAAATGAGTATATTACCTATACATGTAAGTAGTTCTTGATGACCGGTTCTCATAATCATTGCTTTTGTAATTTCACTAAGTTAAATATCGCACTTAGCACAAAAAGCAGACTGAAACTAGTTTATCAATGAAATGACAGAAAACATTGCCACTTTAATCACAAACTTAATAAATTCATATTTTTGTCAGTTTAAAATAACTATAATTTTCTAACTTATATAGAGGTCTGGTTCAAAGGTCACCATTGCTGACTGATCTGTGACTTGTGTTCATTGTTTCTCAGTCCCTCACTGTGCATGTTGTTACACTGTTCTCCCTTCAATTCATTATTATAATTTTTTTCATATTTTTCTGATATATTTATTTGAGGCAACCCGCCAGCTTCTGATGCGGTCTCTGAATATGAGTCAACATCATTCCTGTCATCCATGTTTTTTTCTAACATGCCACTTTTCTCTCCTCTTTTTTCCTCATCTCAAAGCTACAACCCGTGGAGACGGAGGTTAGTTTCCATAGCGATTACTTCATTGCATGCCTCATCACCTGTTTAAGCAGAGTTTTAGAGCACTTATCACTTATTCATCTCAAATTCACTTTCTTTGCAGTTTTATTACAGTGTGATTTTTCTCTGTTGGATTATTTTAAAATAATATCTGTCCATTCGCCAGAAGATGTCTTCTTTTATCTCACCCTTTCAGCTCTAAAGCTGTTCATTCTTGCATGAGTATCTTCTTGTTGTGGACTGTTTCTCTTGGTGTACTTTGTGATTCCTGTGTGTGTAGGTCAGAAGAGCACTTTGCACCAAATCCAGATTTGTATATCTGACATCACTTCTCAGAAGCTTCTGTGCTAATACAGTCATGTTTGAAATGTATATACTTTGTGTATGTATTCCATCCTGGGTTCTTATCCTTGATTTGTCCTTGTCAATATGCTGTCTAGTTGGTTATAAACATTGTTTACATACAAGGTGTGAATTTTACATTGGAATTGCTACAATAAACTTTGTTACTGGTCACTGAGATCAAATTGAAAATGAGAGAGCTACAATACTTGTTTTTGCCTCGTCAAATAGTGTTCTATTCTCTCTCTCTCTTCATCATGTTTGCTGTTACCATGGGAAAATTGTCAGACCAGAAAGAACTGACACAATAATTGAGGGACAAAAAGTCTTGTGGTTCTCGATATCGCTGTCATGTAGGTGGTCATTTGATTATAATCACCATGTAGGTTCACTTGTACTATTCCATTCTCATATTGTATCTGAGGTGCTTTTTCTTTGAATGGCTTTGAGAAATTACAGTATATTTCTAACTATGATTGGCGTGAATATCATCGTCCTATACAATACATACCTACTGTATAGGGCAGAGCAGATTACTCCTCCACCTCCCGCAAATAGTTCCAGTGTTATCAATTCAAACTTAACAATAAAAGTTAGTCATAATAAAGTGATATGCAATGCCTGACTGTATATAAATTCATCAGTAAGCAATCCTAAATGTGGTGATTATATTGCAATGAGATTAATAAGACTACTAAATCTATTAAATCTGCTTCATACCTAGACCTTCATCTTCAATTTGATGGCTGTCTAAAAGACTTTGACAAAATATCTCACTCTCCCTGACCTATGGGGTATACATTCCCTAGATCATCAACTATGCCAGGACATGAAGAATTCTTAGAATGAGATTGGTTTCTCTATTCCAAACTTATTAAACCAAGGGTTTTCTAGAGAACTCAATATTTCAAAGGCCAAAAAAAAGTTGATATACTGAGCTTTGTATGTAAATATGGTAACACTGTTATCCTTGAAGGCATGAGAGTTTTTAATGATTTGATATATTGTGGTTGCCACAGATTCAAATATCTTTCACTCATTGATTTCACCTTGTTTGTACTTGAGGTTTGGTTGCCAGTTGTTTGTTTGTTTGTTTGTTTTGTGTTTTTAGATTTGTGAAATTCTTTTAAAATTTATGAATTTTGATGTCCGTTGGGTATATTGTTATTTCTGTTCTGGTAGTTTTAATAGAGAAATTTACACCATTCATACTTGCCTTGAGACATTATGGAAAGTCTCTGCAATATATGTTCAAATGTCTTGTTTCTCAGCAGGTGTACTGAAACTTAAATTGTTCACAATTGCAGTGCTTTGTATAACATGAAAACAATTTAACATTTTGTTTGCTGCAGAGATTATTTAGAAGATACTTCCTCAGACAGATCATCACCGGTTGGCTCAATCGGCACATCACCAACTATGCCTCCTGCAATGCCGTTACTACGGTTACAGTCTCCTTCCTCATCAACCAGCAGTGGTGCAGGAGTGACACTTGTATCATCTCGGTCATTAGAAGCCACTCCAACCAGTCCTTCTAATGCATCTGTAATGAAAGAAGGTGGTTCACCACATCAGTCTGAAATTCCTACAGCGATCCACATGAAACCAGACAAAGGTAAAGCACGTCTTTTTTGTTAGATCACAATATAAAAAAAAGGAAGAAAGTGAACCACTGAATTTTCTCAAATTGAAGGTTTGAAGAAGTAAATTCGTTGAAAGTCACTGCGACTGTCTGCTGCAATATTTCATCATTTTCTGTGCCCCATAAAATTAACATATGGGAGTCTTTTGTGAAATGAAAGAAGCTTACACATGTGGATAGAAAGCTAATCTTTGAAAACTACACATATGCATGCCCTATTACTCATCTGTTCTCTGATTTATCACACACTACATGTTATTCGCATTCAGAACATAGGAAAATAGGCATTACCTACAATACCTTGTCACAAAAACCTTGGCATAATTATTTGAAATCACTAACTTGTCTGTAATTAGCAATTTGCTTCATAGAATATCTGTTATGTGAACCTTTCCCATGCACATGCACAGCTCTGATGATCATGCTAGTGTTTTAGGTTTAAGCGAGACACATTTATACATAGTTCTGGTTCATGCGATCATGATATATTGTAAAAATATAGATTATGCTAGAGTTCTTACGACAGAGATCCAGTTATTTTTTTGCGATATAATTTCATCACAAGCACGTTCAAATTGACGAAGATTGAATTGTTTATAGTATATAGTATGTAGCTGATTTGTATATCTATTTTTTTTTTATTGGATTATTTGTTTTTTGGACTGTTCATTGTTGATTATTGGACTGTAAAATCTGTACTAGAAGCCGCGACTTCTATTAAAATGGTACAATGCAACGGAGGGGATGAGGCTTCTATTAGAGCATCTACACAAATAAGAAATGGTGAATATTTGGGTCTCAATTGTTCAAAAAGAATGGATGTGACTTCTAATACAGGTTTTACGGTAGACTGTTTGTTTATTGACTGTTTATTTATTGTTTTCTTTGTCTCATGCAGGTGCACCAGTTTTAATTTCTACCTCAGGTTCGATGGCACACCAGTCTCAGATAGCTGACGATTCTTACGGTGCTATGCCAGTAAGTGAAATGGGTGGATATGGTAAAGGGAAATCACAGAAAGGAAGTTATACAATTACTGCAGTTAGGACGGTGGTATGTTGTCTGAGAGCTAAACATTGATAAACTAACATAATGTTAGATGTTGTACCATTCTGATCTAAATAACTATTTCCAAAATCTATGTTTTCATGTTCATTTGGTCAATCAAGTCAAGTATGGTAATGTTAGTCACCTATCCCAGAGTAAACCTGTGTACCAGTAGTTTTTTGTTTGTTTTTTTTTCATTTTGTTTCCAAATTTTAATCATTACCTGTATAAGATAGTAATTTGTGTTTGTCTGGTTTAGCATTAACAAGGAAATTATTGAAAAATATCTAAAAATGTGCAAAGTTTTAAACTAAAATAACTCTCAGCTGGTGTGGTATATAATGCATCCTATCCCTAAACATCTGTTTTTACTAATTTTAGCTAAAATCTCATCCCTCGTACAAATATTAAATACTCTACCACATAAATTATTGATGCTTCTAATATCTAAAGTTTAAAGTTTTGTTTCATTTCAGGGTGATACTTCCATCAAGCCCCATCACGTTCAAAGTCGTCCTATCACAGAATGGCAGAATACAAATGTACTTCAATGGCTGATGCTTCATGAACAAGAGCAGCATATGCCCGCATTCCAGAGTAATAATATTAATGGTATTCAGTTACTGCAATTAGATGGTGCCAAACTTAAGGTGTGTAAGCTCAATATGAAATGTAAAAACCCAGTTTAAAAAACGGAAGCATTTTACACACACTATTGCTTTTGCATACCCTGTCAATTTCGCCGTGATGGTAGTATTTGATGGTGTTGTTGAAGTTTAAAATCCCTGTGTACATACTCCACACTGTGCATGTTTTTTTCAGTCTGTGTATACAGGCCTGAAACCTAATGTGTACACTGTGCATGCAAGACATTTTAAAAATTTGAGTCAATGTATTGTGAAATACAAATAGATTCCATGGTTGAAAAAATACTAAAAACTATTAAAAATTAATTTCTTTATGTTTGTGTTTTGCTGACATATAGAAGACCCATACAAGACAACATGGTCTTAGAAAAACACAAATTGATGTTGCTTGGTCTGGTGACAATGAATTAACACATTTTACAAATAAAGTTTATCTACAATATTTGATACATCACTGTGCATGCTGGGAAAATCTTTTATTTCAGTCACTGATGGTGTGTTAAATTATGTGATGATATCATGAGATGCCAGTGTGATGGGAAAATGGTAAATAAGCATTTACCAGTAAAGTAAATGTGTGTTGGGTTAAGTAAAAGTATTGCTATGTCTCATCACATCCTGTAAAACAGAAGATAAATAATGGAAATGAGAACCAACCTTTGACCAAAGCCTCTTCATTAATAGGTCCGGAGTTTTCATCTTAACTTTAAGGGATTGATGTATACCTGTTGTGAATCAATAAAAAGACCTGAATGGGACAGTCAAAACCAATGACTAAGATGCAATTACCTGGTACTGAGAGTTGCAGATGCTAGTGTTTTGACTGAGTCTGGTTAACACAATGATAGCAAATTATATTGCCACAAAGATAGGACAATGGTCACACACCCGTGACATGTAATCTCAAACATGTTTCTGATAAAAAAATCTGGGGGGGGGGGGGCAACAGTGACATTGTTCAAATCTTCATCTGGGACGTTACTAGTCCAATACCATAACTTCACACTTGACAGAGGGAGAAATGTGGACATTCTGTTCCTCTGCCAAGTGTGTATTATCAAAGGTTGCAAGGGAAGTTCATTGCAGGTTGTGTTTGTTTTAATAATGGGGAAGAAAATTTCGACATGTATTGATTTAATGTGTCTCCACAATTGAATGATGTTATTTATAACGGTTTCTCATTTCAGACGTTGGGGGTAACGAATAAGAATGACTTAGCTTTCTTTAAGAAAAAGATAAAAGAAATGCGTGTTCTATGTGAAAAAGAAAGAAAACAGAGAGAGAAGGAACTCAAAGCTCAAGAGAAACAACAAAAAAAGGCTGCGAAGAAGAAACTGACTGGTTAGTCATTGAAACAGGTTGGAAGCAATGCCTTGTTGCCCTGGAAACTAGCTTCATCAGCAGCTTTCTGTCTCCTGTCTGCATTACATATAGAGTAGAGCCTACTGCAAATCTCGTCAACTCATCTGCACAGATCTTTTTTATGTAGCTTTCACTTCCATTGACTTCAAAAATCTCTATCATTATTCATTGATGACAATAACTTTAAAATATGATCTGCCATTATTATTGTTACTATTCTTTTTAATAATAATTAACGCTTTTATCGCCATACTCGAATATTGCCTCTTCTTTCCAAATGTAGCTTGTACATTTATATAACTTTTGTTTTCATCTCGCTTCAAAATTCAATCAGTTTTGTGGAGAGATTATGGTAATAAATCAGTTGTACACTCAGTGTGAAAGTTTTCTGATGCAGTTGCAGTTTCCATGCTGACACAGATTTCAAAACTATCAAATTTTAAAAAACTTACATGCAGAGAATGTGATTTGACTCAACAGTGGTATGGATTTATGGATTCAGTAATCAACTTGAGAAATGTAGATAAACAGTTCTGTAAAATAAATGATTGTGATATATTTCATGAGGTGTGTTCAAAATTAGTGTCTAAAAACAAAACCCAGCTATCAAACAGAATTTACCATGGTGATGTATAAGTTTTTAGCTATAGAGTGGATAATGCAGGTGATAATAATCATAAGATTGTTGATAGTTAACACAAAAATGTTTGCATTTCTCATGTTTTGAGTGTTCGAAAACTGCAACTGTCAGTCTTAAACAAATAAACAGCTGCTTTATCACAATAATGTATTTTGGAACATTCCTTCAATGTCTTATTTACTGGATATACTTGTAAAGGGGATTTTATGATTCAGATTGCTTTTACAAAGACAAAGCCATTAAAGAGGTTGATCATACAAATTCTCCATGTGTTTTGGAGAAAATTATGTTTTCAATTTTTTATAGTTCATGAATAATTGTATTAAAAAAAATATGTCAAATTCATGTATATCAAAGTGCAATTTATTTCTCTGTAGATGGAGTTTAAAATGCAAAGTAATGGCGTAGGAAATAAAACTCAAACAAAATTAAAAGGAAAAATAGACGTGTTTTTTGACCTAATGTAGATATAATTGTAATTAAAAAAATGGTCACTTTATGTTATTTGGTGGCAAAGGTGATGATATTGGTCAATTTAACTCACAGAGATTGTTATACTTGACAAATAGTATAATACTTTGTTTGTCAAGTGGCTTGGTCTATAAATTGATGTCCTTTACAAAACTAATTATGTTGTTTTTTAAGTTCTTTATTTTGACATTCTCATCTTCTGTCTGAAGCGATCTTAGTTTAGAAACACTAATTCCTTCAATTTTATGAAGCCAAAATAGTGTGTAGACGGAAGCTTCCCTTAAAAACTTTCTAAACACAATACCTGTTTTTGTCTCCTCAATCCTGTATTAGTCAGCTTAACTATAATTTGCTAAATCTGGCTTAATACTCGGCTTTGATAATTATTTTTAGGAAAGGAACAGCGTAGATCAAGATCATCGTGCACTTTAGCGTAATTCAAAGTCGTTTCATGAAGAATGTCCAGAAGATGCAACTTACACCCTTCTTCCATCAAGGCAGCCATTTTGTAAATTTTATCACTGCTAGAGGGCGCTGTTTCCAGTGCAAAACAAGGCAGCCATTTTAACTGTACATTAAAGATGGCCGTTATCTTTTATTTATGCATACAACGTAGGTAGAAAAAAAAAGAATTTGTACAAATTTTTGAAAAAAATAAAAGTATTCTTTGAAGCTTTTTCTTGATGTAAAATTGTGGGTGATGGGACTCCAGTTTTGAAAATTCCATGAAATGTTTCCCAAAACTGGATCTATATATCATAACAGCGTCTATTATCTTACTTCTTATCCAATTACTGCTATTATTAGTGTTACATAGCTTACTGTGTTGGAATTTTATTTCCTTATTCTAAGAGACTGTCAAAGGGGAAATTAAGTCATGTTTTTGTCATTTATAATAAAAAACACAGTAATTTTTATTAAAAAAAAGTTAAATGAGCTATGCTATATGTGTATTTATGATGGCAAAATGTCTACTTGATTTTTGTGGAAAATTTAAGCTTTTTTTTAGTGGGAGAGACTGGGAAAATTGAATATAGTGCGATTTTCACAGACACAGATTCAAAGAATGTTAGAAAAAATAAAATAGAAAATTATGCTGTATAATTGAATTTCTGAATAATGTGAAGTGAGATTTTGGGGAAAAATGCCCAAACTATTGTAGCTATGCTAATAGCAGGATAATAGCTAATGTTATTGTTTAGTCTTGTAATGGTTTTACAAGTTTTTTGCATATTTGATGTACTCTAATATTGGTGTGAGGAGCAACAGTTGTCATTATACATATAAATAACAAAATTCAGATCCTAAAGAGGGTGCTGTAGTTTTTAAAACATAACAAACGTATATTACAAATTGATTCAATTAAGGTGGCAATGTAGCAAAGATTAATTACCCAACCCTCTTTGTTATCAGTATACATTTGTTTTCTTCTATCATTTTTTTTGTATTTTATACCATTACCTTGGAGTCTATTTTACATAAAATGCATTTGTAGAAATTTACATGGAATTATTATTGAAAGTGTTAATTTTTGTTATTCATGTTCTCTTTCTGTTTTTCCTATCATATTTGTGTTTTATTATCAAGCTAGGGGGTCTCTAAGTTATGAAACTATTGTTGCTGAGGGGTTCTTTACCAGCCTGAAGAGAGAATCATGTATGGAGTGGAGTGTACACTGTCAATAATGATAAACATCATAAAACAAGATATTTCCAGTACTAATTCTTTAACAAGGTCCTGTTTTTCATTTGATTATCATTATACTAGATGTGTGTACCTGGGAAAAATTGAATCACATGGAAGCTTAAGCTCTTCAATGCTATGTTTCATCATTTTCCATATTTGGGCAAAGCTCATCATCATCAGTCCCTGCAACTGAGTGATAATTATTTCATGTCTCGATGCAGTTTACTTAACATTTCTGTCACAAAACAACGTTCTTTCATTTCTGGTGCATTATGAGAATAGTTGTTGCTCCGGTTACCCCTTGTTCAAGTCTTCAATGCATTATATGGAGCTTAATTTCCATACTTCAGTTACCATTTCACTTAATTTGACTCTTTGAGTGGGTGGCAATCACCTAGTTTCCATTCCAATGCAATATTACCCCAAAATTAAATCATAGCTCGGAAAAGAAAATGAGCGACAATATTATACATCTACTAGCAGTGGAAAAAAATATAACCATCTGTAAAAATCTTTACGGACGTGTTCGAATGTGTCACAGACGTCACCAGACAATGGTATTGCATTGTCCTGCTACACGTTGGACGATACAATCGCGGTACTGCATTTGCGTTTGGGCATATTTTGCAGCGCTCTCCTGATAATCACATCGTTTCCCGCTATCTTCAAAGTGTACCAATCTATCGCTAGTTATTTGACATTATTTAAATCCATCCAATAGAGGGCAGTGTGTCAATGTATTTGTAGTATGTTACTGCAAGGGGGTGGTATTTGTACGGATATGTGGGGGTTATTTTCAAGATTGCAAGGCATTTATTTATACACTGGTTTATGTAAATTTTATACTGATTCTGTATATTCTTTGCAGTAATGGCCATATTTT